CCCTTTCCTGCTCCTCCTCCTCGTCCTCCTCCTCCTCTGCCCTCCAGCCGCCTTGCGCCCAGGCAACTGGGGCCACCCGTTTCCCGCGAAACCCCAGCCGCCGGCCCGTGTTCAGCGGGCGGCGGTGCACATCTCTTGTCCCTTCCCCCGACGGCGGGGGAGCGCCGCAGCAGGCGCTCGCCACCCCCCAGCTGGCACAGGCGGGCTCGGCTCGCGCGCGCGGCCGCCCGCCTGCTCTTGCGGCAGGGGGGCGCCCGCCACATCCTCGTGCAGCACCACGGCGAGCACCTGCCCAGCGCGGCTGGCCCTATGGCGCCAGGGGCCACGGGAGCTCCCGCGCCGTGGGCGGCGGCTGGGGCGGCCGACCAGCAGCGGGCTTGCGTCGCCTCCTGCGGCTTCAAGACCAACTTCGGCTCGCGCCAGTCGTGCTGGAAGTGCGTGCGCGACAGGCAGGGGCGCCTGCCTGCCAAGGCCGCCGACACGGCGGGCTCTCGCACCAGGTCCGCGTCTGCCGCTCGTCGCCCTCTCCGTGGTCCTGATGATGGAGCTGGAGCTGCTGGGCCCGCGGCAGGTGCTGGAGGCTCATCGCCAGTCAAGGACCAGTCCGACGAGTCCCAGCCTGTAGTGCGGGCCCGCAAGGGCTTGGCGGCCCTCAGGCGCCTCAAGTACGACGAGGGCCATCCCCTGGTCGTCGCCGCTGCGCGAGAGTTGCAAGTGCTTGAGGCCGAGGAACGCCGTCATCGACCACCCGAGAATGTGCTGCGTTGTGTCCGGGAGCGGCTTGCTCTCAAGACGAAGGAGAAGCTTGACGTCGACGCGCAGCTCTCGGAGGCGGCGGAGCGGGTGGTGTTGCTCCACAAGAAGGTTAGCTCACTCTCGGATGACGTGGAGGCGCTGCAGCGTGAGGTGTCGGAAGCGAGGGCGGCGGTCACTCCTGCGACCGCGGGCCATCAGGGCCTGGACCTCGCGGCCACGCCGACCGACGTCCTCAGCCTGCAGGCCCTCACCAGGTGGTGCGCAGTCCTCGGCCCAGGCGGGCCAGGGGACCCAGCTGCTGCAGTCCATCCACTCCGAGATTCCTGGCCATCGCTCGGACGTCCATTCCCTGCGCTTTTTTCGGTTTCGTGCGTGTTTTTTTCGCCAGATGGTCGAGGATGCTCCTCGAAGGTCCTCGCCGAGAAAAAAATGCACACGTCCGAGCGATGCCGAGATTCAGGCCCTGGGGGGTGGCCTTCCCTGCCGCGCGGGCTGCTGCCCCGGCGGCGGGCGCCGCTGCCTGCGGACCCCCCCCCCGTGCGACGTCGGGCGGGGCCCTGCGGCCACGGCGGGCGCGGCCATCGGGCGGCGGCGGCTCCGCGGGCCAGGGCGCGTGCCCGTGGGCGGCGAGCCGACGGCAACGGTCCACGGGACGTCTCGCCCACCGCCCGCCGTCGAGCCTGGAGGAGGGGACTGGCCATCGCTCGGACGTCCATGTCCTGTGTTTTTTTTCGGTTTCGTGCGTGGCTTCTTCGCCAAATGATCAAGGCTGCTCCCCGATGGTCGTCGCCGAAGGAAAAATGCACACGTCCGAGCGATGCCAAGGCGAGGGAGCCGCCCCCACTGCCGGTCGTTGCCGCTCGAGCGCTCCGTGTGGATCGCGGGGATCAGGCTGCAACGTCATGGGCGGCGCGCAGAGGCTGGAAAACTTGCATCACGCCGTGCCGTCGCCTCGAGTCGGGCAAGCCCAGCGGCGGGGTCGGCTTGTTGATTCGCGACTTCGTGGGGACTCGCCTGCTGGAGTCCGTCGACGGCACGCCTACATCTGAAGTGGTACCATCATGGGCGGTGGCTGTGCGTGCAGACCTCGGCATTCTTGGAGGGCGTAATCCTGGGTTCTGTATATGTTGAGTCAGTGCCCGATGCCGCCTTTCTCAGTTGCAATTTTCAGAAGCTGGCGCGTCTCGGCGAAGCGCTGAGAGACTATGCCCGCCCTTTCCTGGTGACAGGTGGCTGGAATACCACACCTGCTGAGCTCGAGGTGCTTAGAGCGTTGGATGCTCTACCCGCTCAGTGCGTAGTTCCGAGCGGAGAAGGCACCTGTCGCTCACCTCAGGGGAATGATCGGCCGATTGATTTTTGGCTCGCCTCCCCTTCTCCCGCGAAGGCGTGTCAGGACCCACGGTGTGCTCCAGACTGGGCGGCCAGGTCGCACTTCCCCATCTTGCTCGACCTTGCGGCACACCCCCGTGAGGTACAGCAGCTGTGTTTTCAGGCTCCCCAGGCCTTCCCCAGGCTCCCACTTGCTTTCTCTGGCAGTCACCCTTTGGAGGGCCCCCCCGCGTGTCCCAGCCTTCTCTGGAGGTTGTCGCCGAGGACTCTGCGAGAGGGGTGCTGTCCGGGAGGGCCCTAGGTATGTCTGGAGGCCTGTGGGCGGGCTGCCCGCTCGGGGTAAGCCAGCTAGTGTGCCTGAGGCTCGCCTGTTCAGGGACGTTGCTGAGGCCTCGCCCGCCCGCGCCCTGTCTCCCCAATTAGTGCTTTGCGCGGCCCGCCTAGCTCTTAACCGGAAGAGACTCGCTCTCGACCCGCTCACCAAAAGTTCAGGGACGTTGCTCAGTCTATAGCTGATGTCGCAGTGACCTTGGATAGGCGCACGTGTATCGGACAGAAAGCACAGAGGCCCCTTCGGGCTCACAGGCCTGGGATAAGTCGGGACGTGCGCACCGAAGCTGAACTGATGCTGTTCCGGAGTCCCCCCGGTCCTGCTGCATGCTGCTGCTGCTGCCTGCCCGCTGCCCGTAGCCCATTCTGGCTCTTGCGATCGCCTCCAGCACTCTCGTGCACACATCTTTCCTCGCTCGCTGAGGCAGTCGACGCACAGGCGGAGTCTTGGGAGTCCGCTGCCGCCGCTGCCAGACGGGCTGCTTTCTTCAAGTGGGCCAAGGACGCGTTGGTGACATCGCCCGCTCAGGTCTTTCACTGCTCGAAGATACGCGGCTGGAGTTATTCGGAAACCTCTCCAGGTGCTGGCCGCGGGGAACGCCCCGTCTCCCAAGCCTAAGCGGTGGCGGACGGGCAGATGGATACGTGGCGAGGAGTGTGGGACGCCGAGTCGCTCGAGAGAGGCGCCCAGGGAGACCTCGGGGCTGAAGCCGAGGTCGATGTCGGCCACCTGCTGACCCCTGGCAGTGAGGATTAAGGGGAGCTGCAAGATATATTAGGTTTTTTTTTTCTGCTTCCAGCCTTGGGCTTTGCGCGATACATGGCGGGGCCTGCCCAGCAAGAGGCTGCCCGTCCCGCGCGCCGAGGACGTTGAGGCGGGCTGCCTGCGCGCGCCCGCTCCCGGGGCGCACGGGCACGGCGGGCGTGGATCGCATCGCACCCGGGGCGTTCGCGCCCGCCTGGCCGACGAGGTGCTCGCCTGCGAAGGTCCACCTGGTGTGGGCGATCGAGGCATGGCACAGTTTTTGGTCGGCGGGGCGAGAGCGAGCCTCTTCCGCCAAAAGCTAGGCGGGCTACGCGCAGCTTTAATTAGGGAGACAGGGCACAGGAAGGCGGGGCCTCAGGCGGCCGGAGCGGGCGGAGCCCGGGGTGCAGGCGGTGCCGAAGACGGCCGAGTCAGATGATGCTGGCCCATATTGTTCTGCTGAGCAAGTCAGCGGGCGTCTTTCGCCCGATCGCCCTGCTACCAGCGATCCATCGCATCTGGACCAGTGTGAGGCTGGTGCACGTGAGGGGATGGGTGCGAGGCCACATGCGACCGCACTTCGCCATGTGGACGAACAAGTGCACAGTCGACGTGGCGGTGCGATTGCTTGTCAGGACGGAGGCGGCTGCTCGCCATCCCGACCTTGCTGTGGTCACGGCGCTAGTTGACATCAACGAATGTGTTGATCGGGTTTCGTGGCCCATGCTCGTTGGGGCTGCTAGACGCTACGGCTTCCCGCCTACCATACTGACCCGACTGGTGACCAACTATTCGATCAGTCGGAGCCGTCTGAGCCCTCACAATTTCCTGAACGACCCTCTCTCACTCCACCCTCTCCCCCCCTCCCAGCAGTTGCAGCAAGCGGAACGGAACGGAGGGGCGCCCAGCGAAAGGGTGAGGAGGACGAGGAGGAGGAGGAGGAGGAGGAGGAGGAGGAGGAGGAGGAGGAGGAGGAGGGAGGAAGGGAGGAAGGGAGGGAGGGAGGGAGGGAGGGACTAGAGGACTAGGGGCGGCCCTGGACGAGGGGCGTCCGAGCGCAGTATGTTCCCAGGCATGGGGTGTGGACGAGGGGACGAGTAATGGGACGCCTGGAGCGAAGAGGAGAAAGCCATGACTCGGGCGTTGCTCAATGGGACTTCTGACTCGGTGATCGGCGAGGGAAGGGCTCGGGTTTCGCTGCCCAATGCCTCCTCCACCCTGGAGGGCTGTCCTCCTCCGGGCAGGATGGTCGGCCTCCAAGATTCAGGTTCTCGACCCTCTGAAGGGGCCCGGCGCCGGCGGAGAGAAAGGACTAGGCAACGAGGTGCGAACCCTGCCCTTGCAGGCCGGGCGTTGCTTGATGGGGGGGAGCGATAAGTAGGGGGAGGGGAAACGTGCACCTTTCGTGCCCCTTTCGGGCCCCAGGGGGCCCCTTGAAGGCTCCTTTGGGGCACAACAAGTGAAACTTTCTTCAGCCCCCCCCGCCGCATTACCCTCCCCCCCATTACGCAACGCCTGGATGACATTTAAGATATTCCATGGCGTCGGCCATGATGGAAGGCCTCCAAAATGGAGCCCGAATGGGGTCGGAGGATCGCGCCGCATCGCCGTTGCATCGCGATGCATCGGCGACGTCGACGGTGCATCGACGACGTCGGCGTAGAGAAACTCGGGCTCTAGATCGTGCCGCATCGCCGATGCATCGGCGATGCGGTGCGACCCTCCTACCCCATCTACCTCGACCCATCAAGGATGCCTGGAATGATATTTAGAACTGGGCGATCGGGTCTTTTGCAAAGGTTGCCACAAACATTTGCGCAATAGTGTATGCAATAGTCGATCATGTACACATACGTCATACAGTGCCTCGTGCAAAGGATGAGATGCAATAGGTCGTGCGTTCGAGTGCAATCGTTTGTTTCTGTTGTGTTATGAACCGTGACCATGCTTTTTGAGAGCAAATGCTTGCAACAGACGCGTCTGACTATGCGCTGACGGAGTTGGCTGATGCAACAGCTGAGCCCGCTAGCGCACTGGATCGCCATAGCTGCGCGCGCAAGGTGGGGCAGTTCATTCACGCAAACAGAGCAACTGCATCTGCTCTTGCGGACCCCATGGAACTGCACCGCCCAGACCTCAGACGCCGCGGACGTTCCACAACATGCGCCCAAGAGGTCTTGACCTTCTCCCCAGGACCGGCTTTAATTCCTGAAGAGTCTTAGGTCGGGCGTGTCCCCCTACAGCTTTTTCGGCGAAAAAAACAAATACTCAAAACATACTCCAATATTGTCAAAAATATATAAAAAATGGTCGCCAGACTATTTTTTAAAAACTATTTCTGAATATTCCTCCTGTAGAGGGACGGGCCCGACTTCAGAGTAGTTTCTTCACGCTCCCGGGGTCTGGCGAGGGCCCCCCCGGAGGCCGAACAAGGACCAAAATCAGCGCGCCGGGACTTCTTCGTGCGCGGAGACGCGCGGGCTCCCCCTCGCTCTCCCCCCCCCCTCCGACGCCCCAGACCTCGAGCACGGCCTGGGCTCCCCGCCGACCCGCTAGAGGCCCACCACGGCATGCCCTTGGAGCACCAGGAGGGCTCGAAGAGCAAAGAGGGCATGCTCTCAAGACAGACGGGCAGCGTATGACGCCAGAGCCGTGCCCGCCAGGAGCGTTCCACGAGCACCTCCGTGCAGACACCTCGGCAAACTCTCTCGGAGAGAGGCCCGTGGTGGGGGTCCTGCGCGTGCCTCGTGGGCCCAAGACATCTCCGCAGGCACCACCGGCCTCGCGGGCCAGGCCCCTCCTCCTCCTCCTCCTCCTCCTCCTCCTCCAACTTCTCCTCCTCCTCCTCCTCCTTCTCCTCCAACTTCTCCTCCTCCTCCTCCTCCTCCTCCTCCTCCTCCTCCTCCTCCCCTGGGCCGCGGCCCCGCGGACACGGGGCGGTGCTTCGCCGATGCCCCGCGCGGAGCGTCCCCCCGCACGGCCGCGTCCTCTCGGCCTCGCGCCCCCGGAGCCCAGACCGCGACGGCGCGGACACGGAGATGCGCGGGAAGCGCTGCGTGCCTGCCGCTCGCGGGCTCCGCCGGCCCTTCGACGGCTTGCCGCGCGCGCGGCCCGGGCACCTCCAGCCGGTTGGCGCGGAGCCGGCGCAGGATCATCCCCGCGACGGCCTGCGGGTCTTGGCGGGGGCGGGACCCCCAGCAGATCGCGCGGTGGCGGACGGCGTGGTGGCCTCGGGGTCCCCAGCGGCCTCGCCGCGCCGTCGACCACCCCCGCACGGTCAGAGGAGGTCCTCGGAGGCCCCGGTCGCCCGAGGCGTCTTCGGAGGACGACCCGGCAGTGCCAGAACCGTGCGGTGACGCCAGATCCCAGCTGACTCACCGTGCGGTGTGGTCACCATACCGTTGCGACGAGCAGGAGGGGGACTTTACGCAAGATAGCATAGCGACCTTACGCCGCGGCTTGCGCGAGCCGCAAGCGCGGCACGCTCCATTGGAGACGAAGGCGCTCACGCGCGGCCATGCGCGGGTAGCTCACGCGTCCATGTCGGTGAAGGCGAGCCGATCTCCTTCGTCGCTCACCTGGGGGCCCCCGATCGAACTTTTTGAGGATCGGGATCTCGGCATTTTGACTTCCCCCCCCCCCCTGGCTCCTCCCGCCAGGCTGCGCCCTCGGCCCTCGAGGAGTCGAGGTGGGGAGGGGGACCCGAGGGCGCCGTTGGCCCTCGTGGGGCCCCCTTTGGAGGCCTCGGGAGACCTCCCTCCTCCCACCCTCCTCCCTCCCTCCCTCCTGCCTCCCTCCTCCCTCCCTCCCGAGCTGATGAGTGGAGAACGGAGGCTGGTCCCCCGAAGGCCAATGGGGGCCGCGCGCGCAGGCAGACCTGGGACCTTTGGGAATCAAGGGACTGCACAACCCATCCCCACCCCCGCTAGGGCCTCCACTCCCGACCTGGTGACCCAGGCGATCCTGGCTGCGAGTGGGGGTGCTTCGTGGGGGAGGCCAGACCCTCAGAAACGACCCCCCGCCAGGAGGCTCCCACGCCCGGGTCAGCCAGAGGATCTCGGAGGGGAGTGGCTGACCGCTGCAGGCGCTGAGCCACCATATACAATTCGAGACATCCCGCATCGAAACCATCGAAGCGCCAAATTTCTAGGAAGACAGAAAAGCCAAACGATCCCAATTTCGATCCGATCAATTGTGTTCGGACCCGCAGCTCCGTGACAGGAGGTCGATTTCCGAGGTGGACGCCAAATTCTGAAACAGACTTGCATGCCGAAAGGCTCCCGCCTGGAGGCTCGCCCACCCCCTCCCCGTGGGCCAACGGTTGGGCCTGTATTGCCCACTTTCCAGGAGAAGTTGGGGAGTATGGGAAGCTGACAGGGAGTGGGACAAGGAAGGGGGCGGGGAGGACGAGGAGAAGGTGGAAGGGGGGAGGACGAGGAGAAGGAGGAGGCGGGGTAGGGAGGAGGAGGAGGTGGAGGAGGAGGACGAGGAGGAGGATCAGAGTAAACCAAATATTTACCTTAAGGATGCTGCCACACACCCTCCCGCCACAAGTCCCGTTCCTACATGCAGTCTGTCTGACTGCTAGAGGCGTCCCCCATTGAAAGAAGGGCGCTCCATGGGCCCGGTGTGGTCAGAAAGTTGAGGAATTACCTAGCCCATAAAGACCCGTTTTGAAAACAGGGCGCCCTCCATTCGCGTTGCACAATTTCTTATGCCTGTCGCAATACATCGCGCATGTCGCAGAAGCTTCAAGCGAGAGCCCCATTTTGAACCGTGTCGCCTTCCATCCCTGCAACAGCTTGAAACCTGTACGGCAAGTGTGCAGGGCGCCGAGGCGAGAACAAACTCTCGGCAAGGGACCGCCCTCTATATCCGCGAAACCGCTGGACTAGCTCAAGACGGGCGCGCGTGATGTCCAAATGGGACCCCCATTTTGAAAACTGCCCGCCCTCCATCTGTATTCGGGTGTTGCTAGAAGTGCCCCTGGTCCAAGGTGCCCCCAGGATTTCCAAGGAGGCCCCCACGGCCTCCAGAGCACCCCTCACGAGGCCCAGAAGGCCCAGGGGCTCCAACATTGAGCGAAAAGCTAGGGGTACCTTGGGCCAGGGGCACCTTTAGCAACCCCCGATGTATAAGTGTTGAACGTTTCTGGTCGCAGACGGCGAGAAAAAGTTCAAGGCGAAAAGCCCAGCCCGCCCTAACCAGATGTCTGGTGGTGCGACCGGGCGGCGTCATTCATGAGGAACAGGGGTGGAGGAGGGAGGAGGAGGGAGGAGAGAGGAGAGAGGAGGGAGGAGGGAGGAGGGAGGAGGGAAGAGGGAGGAGGGAGGAGGGAGGAGGAGGAGGAGGAGGAGGAGGAGGAGGAGGAGGAGGAGGGGAGGAAGGAGGAGAGGGAGGGAGGAGAGGAGGGGGGGGGAGGAGACTGCAAAAGCTGGCGCCTCGCGCCAGGAGTGGACACGGAGGTAGAGAGCCTGCTCGCTACTTGACAACATGGGCGGAAGGCTTAGAGAACGATATCTCCGAATGAAACTTTCCCCCGGGGCTCTGCCATATAGCAAGGCAGCATCGCACATAACAGTAATGCGACTCGCCGCAAGGCTAATGACCCTGTGGAGCCATCATGCGATGTAAGCACCTAAGGATGAGCCAAAGGAGGAGTGGTGCAAGGCGCAAGACTAGCTCCCTATACGTCATACGCCATGACGGAACAAAACGACGTCTTGAATGACACGAATGTAACTCCTGCCGCACCTTTCTTGCCATATTTCTCGAGCCGACCCGTCGTATCGTTTCCGCTCCGATGCCAGGGTGTGTGAGATAACCACAGTGGCCGTTGTCATTGCGCCAGGCCTGACTTCCTCGACATGCTGGGGGCCTTGGTGAATTCCCATACGACAAGTTCGTATCGTGATGACTTCGGCGTTAAGGTTTTTGACACTTCGAGGAACGTTCAATCCTGAACAACCCGCGGCTTTTCGATCGCTCGGCCGTTCCATGTTGGCCGGTTCTGGGCTGCTGGCGGCCCTCCATCTGGAGAGCGCCCGCGGCGCGATCGCCGCCGCGTCGACACGAAACGAGCATGTCGTACTGATGTGGCCCACGGCCGGCAATCCTCGCTTGGCGTGTCGCGGCGGCGGCCCCGGCGACACGCTGAGCCCTGCAAGCGCGGATAGCGGGTCGCTCCGCTCTGCCCGGGGGGATGGGACAAGCTCGAGACGTTGGTGGCGCCTGCCGTGGATGGCGTGCCGTGCGGAGGAGTGGTGGGCCGGAACCAGCGGCGCGACACGCTAAGCCAAAGTTCCTGACCCTAGCCTCCGACATCCCACATTTCGGAGGAGGGCAACGTGAGACAACGGTCTTTAAATCGGCTCAAAATCGGTCCCTGGACCCCTCCTGGGGTCCAAACGCACAGAGGAGGCGAAAAAGGCAAAAACGTCACCCTTGTCTCACCCTGCCCTCCTCTGAACATTCCCCCCCCAGACAGCCGCCTCCCCCTCTCCGACCCGGCCTCCCGCGTTCGCATCGGGCTCCACTCCTCGGCGGCGGCGTGGGGGCTTGCGCGCGCACGCGCAGGCGCGCGCGCGGGAAGGGGCGGCGAGCTCGGCGGCGGGGCGCGTCTTCCCCGACTTCACATGGGCTTTCGCTGACGCTGGTGCCCAGAGGTCTCGACGCGGGCTCGGCAAGGGCCCCACGAGCTCGACAATTACCAAAACCTCCTCCTCCTCCTCCTCCTCGCCCTCCTCCTCCTCGTCGAGAGCTGTCTTTGCGACGCGAGGGGGCCGGAGGCCGAAGACAGGTCGCCGGCACCGAAGGTCGAGATCACAGCGTTGGAGGTCCAGGGAAGCTGGTGGGATGCACCGACGCGCCGATCCTGGCAGAGCGCGCCAGCGGCCGCGGCAGCTGTCGCACGGGCGGATAGAGGGGGAAGGGAATTTCGAGGATAGAGGCTGTTGGCTGTCTGTGGGCCCTTGCGGGGGATGGACCTTCGCCAGGACATCTGAACTCAAATCCCAATCGAGGTTTTGAAACAGTCCGAGGGAGAGACGAGGAGGCATGGGGGGTCGAGAATGCCGAGGACGGTGATGAGGACGCTTGCGAAGAGGAAACATCAGAGGATGATGGTGATGGTGATGGTGATGGTGATGCTGATGATGATGTTGGTGATGATGTTGATGATGGTGGTGGTGACGACGGTGACGATGACGATGATGATGACAAGGTTTCCGGGGCTGCTGGCAATGCTGGTGACGATGATGGTGATGATGATGCTGCTGATGATGTTGATGACGATACAGATGATAACTAATAGTAATAATAAGATCAATGACATGCTGATGCTGGTAACGCTGATAACCACAAGGATGCAGATGATGGTGACACTGATGATCAAGGCGATGCTGATGATGATTACGATAATGACGACCATGATCATGAGCACGAGCATGATGCTGATGATGAGGACGATGACGATGACGATGCTGTAAATGATGATGATGATGCTGAAGACGATGATAATGCTGATGATGATGACGATTCCGATGATGATGGTGGTGACGATGATGGTGGTGATGATGATGACAATCATGATGATGACGCCGAGGCAAAACTCCCTCGCCCACTCTCTTCTCTAATCTGGTCTGTTTTCCCTTTCCTCCCACCCTGCGATCTCTGCCAAACATTCGCGGTAGTTGTTCCAATCCCCCCTTCCCCATTGAAATTTTGCTGATCGAAACATACCACGTTTGTACATCATGGGTCCGTTCCTACCCCTCCTTCCCATCATCCTCCCCGCACCTCGCCCTCCTATTCACCTGCTCGCTCCCCCTCCCTTCTCCTCCCGACCCCTCTTTCCCCCCTACCCCCTACCTCCCGATGGCTGGCCCCTCCCTATCCTTCCCCTCTCCTCCCCCTTCTAGTTGTAGTTCCACAGGCGTCCCCCTGTCTTCCAACTCCTCCTCCTTATCGGTACACAGGCTATTCTTCTTACCAGCTTGCAACACTTATACGGATGGAAGGCGAGTCGAGATTAACAAACATGTGGCTCTCTCATTCGCGCCAGGTGCAATCTTCGAAGTTTGCAGCAGTTGCACTGACTGAATGGGATGGTCACCTGACGCTCCGCTGGACTGCATTAGCGGAACAAAGAACGGTATAAAACAGAAACTTTTGGAGGTCCACGCGGATTTCTTGGACCTGACGTGGACCCTCATCCCAGGCGCGCGGAGCGCGCCAGAGGCGGCGCCAGAGGCGGCGCCAGGGGGCTCCAGCGCAGATTCAAGAAATCCGCGCGGAGCTCCAAAATCTTTATTTTTATGCCATTGTTTGCTCTTCGATGCATGCTGCTGCACCTGGACACGGCCATCCGCCGCAGAACAGCGCACGAGATTGGCCTCACCCCAGGGCGCCCGTCTCTCGATCGCGTAACCCCCTCGCAGTGCCAAGGACCACCCGTCGGTCGGAAGAGGCGGGTAAGAACATGTCGCCGCGCCGTTGGTTCCCGACTTGCCCAAGTGGACGATGCCGAGACCATGACAAACCCACGACAAACCTCGGGTGTTGCTAGAAATGGAAGTGCCCCTGGCCCCAGGTGCCCCAGGGATTCCCAGGGAGGCCCCCACGGTCTCCAGAGCACCCCTCACGAGGCACAGAGGGGCCCAGGGGCTCCAAACTGGAGCGAAAAGCTGGGGGCACCTTGGGCCAGGGGCACCTCGGGCAACACCCCAAAAGCCTGCGTCCCGCGCCCCAGGTAGACGAAGACGGCAACGCATCAAACCAACGGCCAACTCTGCGTCGGAGGCGGAATCTGCCCTGGTGGCCCAGGCGCCCTGCCCCCCCCCAAGGCGTAGGGCCCCGCGCCGGAATAAACGGCGCGGCGACACATGAAGTGGGAAGGCGTTGGAAGCAGATTGGGTCTCCGCCCGCCCTCTGAAGACGAAGGAAGAGGGAAGGCCACTCGATCCTGGAAGTAGGCAGCCTCGCAGCTTGACGTCAGAACAGTGGCGCGCAACATCGACGTCTGAAAAGCGCGCTATCCCCGCGAGGCGATCCTCCCGCGAGGTCCCCTGCTGTGCTCGAGCTACCCCCTGCCAAAGCTTCTTCGGTGCACGCTGTCCCCAAGCCGGGGGGTAGTGTGTAACAAGCGGGCCGGTGGCCTCACATCGCACGCTACTTTCCCAATGCCAACCGTGAGAGCGTGTTGCGGCATCATCGGCGTCGTTGCCGCCGTCGACGTCGTCGTCAGCCTCGTCAGCGTCGCCGTCGCCGTGCGGTGCTCCCGCCTGCTGGTCTTGGTGATGCCACCGACGCCTGGCGTTCGGCCTCTCCCGGAGGTAGCCTGGCACATTGTGGGGTGGAGGGGGGGGGGCGGAGGGAGAGGAAAGGAGAGAGAGGGCGAGGGAGTGAGCGGAGGGAAGATCAGAGGGGGGGAGGGAGGAAGTGGAGGGAGAGGTAGGGAGGGGTGGACTCAGGGGGATGGAGGGGGGAAGGGGGAGGGATGGGGAGAGGGCGGATGATGAGGAAGGGGGGTAAGAAGGAGTAGAGGGACAGGGAGGGAAAGAGAGGAGGGAGGGAAGGGGGGGAGGAAGGATGGAGGGTGAATGGGGTATGAAGGAGGAGTGGGCTGAGGATGGAAATCGGAGAGGGGAAAAGATCCTCGCAGACACCTGTCTAACAAATGCACAGAGACATATCATCTAGATATATGTACACACATTCATATGTATGTGTTTGCCAGCACGCACCCCGAACAGTGTGGTTCTATTAATCTGGGGTGTGAAAATCTCTGTGGAGCAACATGTGTGGTAAAATAAATCTATCAGATGCAATTCACCCTGCCGAACTTGAAACTGTCAACTCCATTGCCCGCGAAAGTAGCCCACCCATCCACCTGCAACTTGGTTTGCAAAACCCATGCGGAGGTGATTGCGATTACTGCTCGGCGCTGGCTGGTGCATCTCTGCGGCCGCGCTAGCCCGCATATGCTCGCGCGCGCAGCTGCGAGCTAGTTCCACCAGTCCTTTACGGCGTAGGTGGTCTAGGGTGTTTTGTCTTCCATCTGCCCCTCTTCAACTTCGGGGAGGGGTTTACCCCTCCCCCTGTCGCCTCCCCTGGACCTGGACGGGGCTGGTCGAGGTGTCAGAGCGTCCAAAATGGCCTCGGCGAGGAAGCCACAATCATGCGTTCTACCGTGGTTTTGGCCCCATGTTGGCCTCTTGGGTGGGCCCCGCTAATTTAAGCTCCCCTCTTGTTTGATCGATGTCGTCCAAAATGGCCCAAAAGAGAGCCCCAAGAGGTGCCCAGGAGGTTTTTTTGGCTCTCTCAGAGGCCCCGCTGGGTCCCAGCAAGGCCCCCCCCCACACCGCGTCGGCTACGCGGAGCTCGACCCACCCCGTTCTACAAATAAAACTCCCCCGCGCGGGCCGCCCTCCCCACGACCCCAACGACGTGGCCCACCTCCTCGCTGAACTGGCTCCAGAACAGCAGGAAACGGCTTACCCGTCTGTGGGTGCAATCCACGAAAGGAGCCGATCCCGCCGCTTCCGCTTCGTATCAGCTCCTGGGCTCACATTCCTCTTCGACATGGGCACCGCGCGCTCCTTGCTCAGCCCGTCACGCCGCTGAGCAGCATGCGCACCGAACACTCGACAGACCACATATCGCCCCAAAACCTGCACGACGTGGTGCCTCCTCTCATCGGGCTGCTCGGGCGGTGATGCTGTCAGCAATGGCGCCTCCTCGACAACACTTCCCCTGGCCCTGGGCGAGCGGGACCTCCTCCTGCTGTCGCCCGCCACGCTCGGGCCTCCACTGCTGCTACAGCCCGCCGCCGCTGCCGCTGCAGCAGCCGCCACAGCTGCCGCTGCCCCAGCCGAAGGCGCACTGCGCGAAGCCACCGGCCTGGTGCTGTGGGCCTGCTGCGCAGCTCCACGCGCTTGGCTCACTCGAATCTCCAGCGGGCCTACCTGGGCACCTAGCGCCGTCGGCCCCTTCGCGCGCCATGGCGGTGGTCGGCGCTCTGCCTTCCACAGCTTCTTGCGCATGCGCGCCGTGGCCGCACGCTTGCCACACCGCACGCACACCTGCCAGCGGCCGCACTGCTCCACCTCGTGCAATGTCAGGGAGATCTGCGGCCTGGGACTACGCCTTCGCCGCGTGCCAGGCGGCCGCGGCGGGACATCTGGCCACTCGCATTTTACCTCCTGGCGCCACCAGCCCACATCCTGGATAGCCCACCGCACGCGCTCCCCCAATGACGAAGGCGCCTCCTGCTTGCCGAAGCCGTAATCCTCCTCGGCACCTCGCTTGGCCAACAAATCCACTGCCTCGTTGCCCTGCGCAATCTGCTCCTCCTGCCTCTCTAGAAGTCCCATCGCCTGCTTAATGCGGTGCGCCTATACATGCTGCGCCTTATCGAGCTCCAAGCCGATGTCTGCCAGCTTGTGCCATGTCCGCCGCCACAGGTTGGCGTGTGGACGTTCCAGCTGAGGCACCACCTAGCCCCGCGCGCCAGCCCGTCCAAGATACCCGTATGGTCCGTGTAGATCCTGCACGGCGGAAGCACCACCTCCAGCACCTTGAGGAAGGCCCACAACTCCGCGCTCTTCAATGTTTTTTGCACCTGAAGCTGGCACGTGAGCGCCCCCCCCACAGCTGGACCTTGGGCTTACCCTCCTGCGTCACTGCCATGGCGGCCCATCCCGCCTGCGCCCAGCAAGTGGGGCCCTGCTTGGACCCGTCGCAGACAACGTCTCCCGTCCAGGATGCCCTCAAGAGGCTTCCAAGAGATCCCTAAAAGGCCCCAAGAGGCCCCCCAGAGACACCCAAGACGCCCCACGAGGCCTCGGCGAGAATGCCAAACTCATGGATTTTATTAAGGTTTTGGCCACATTTTGGCGCATCCTGGGGAGGGGCGGCCCCAAGAGCGCTCCCAAAACCCCCAAGAACGCCTCAAGAGGACCCCAAGAGGCGCCCACGAGGCCCCAAGAACCGCACAAAGGGGCCTCCAAGAGGCTCCCAAGAGACGTTCCAAAAGGCCCCTGGGACCGCCAAAAAACCCCCAAGACGCAAGAGAGGCCCAAAAGAGCCCCAAGACGGCCCCCAAAACGCCCAAGTGTGTCCCAAGAGCACTCCAAGAGGGGCCCTTCATTTGCGTGCTGCCCACTTCCCTGATCGAGGCACATTCTCTGGGCGTCTCTGGATGGGCTGGTGGGGTTACGCGAAAAGTCTAAAATTTGGTGCGACCGACGCAGCCACGGTGGCGCTGACCGCTGGACACGTCCCACCAGGCACTTCACTGCGAGTCGGCGGCTCGGGCGGGCGCGGCATCATGACAACGTCGACAACAGTAGACACGATGATGATAGTAGCGATCTTGGCGACAATGCTGACACCGACGATGGCACGGCCAGTGACGGCGCCGATGCTGATCACGCCGTTGACGATGACGGCGTCCTCGCGTCGGTGATGAAGGTTTTGGAAAGGATTCGACAGGCGCGCGACGACAACGCGCGAGAGTGGCTCGCATGGTCGTATTTCACACTCGAACGATCTCGACATGCGGCGCGAAGGCCCGTTTGCCAACATTTCGTGAACATGATGGGAACAGTGTTTTTTTTTTTTGGGGGGGGGGGGACCTCGATCGTGCAAAACTATGTGTTCTTTATCTGTTTTCGGGGCATTCGGTTTTAAGATCCTTACGGGACCAATGGTTTTTGATGGGTACCGGCATGCGCGCGAGACGACGCGCGCGTGTGCACTTCTTCCAGTTTTTTTCGTGGTTTTGTTTTTGTTTTTGTTTTTTTGTTTTCTTATTGTCGAGGGATTATTGCGACAGCACGCGCGCAAGCGCGTCCTTGTGGTAGCATGTGAGAGCATGTGGTAGCATGTGAGAGAAGCCCATGTGGTAGCGACATGCGCGCGCGAGAAGCCCATGTGGTAGCATGTGAGAGAAGTGTTTAAAGCACGAAGGTTTTCTTAAGCATTCGCAGCAATGCGGGCGCATGCTTTGTTTGAAGGTTGTTGTGGCGAAGCCCTCTTGTTTTTCTTTTCGGGGAACTTGTTTTTGAAATCCTTACAGCAACTATGGTTTTGATGGTTTTCGGCATGTGCGCGCCGACGCGCGCACGCGTACTTCGTCCCGTCTGTTGCAAGGGGTTCGCGAAAACGGAATAATTTCGATCAACGGCTGCGCGCGCATATTTTTTTTGCAAACGTTGATGCGAAGGGCGATACTGATTTGGCTGGGATGATATGAGTTCATTTTTCGGATGGGTGATGGGGCAAAATCGTATGAAACTTGCAATACGAAAGAAGGGTACCGTTAAGTCGGGGGGGGAGGAGGAAGTCGATCCTATTACTTCTTGCGAAAAAAAAAGAATATGTGCAGTGCGAACTACGTGATGCAACATAGGTGGATCGATCTAGGTTATGCAATGTATGTTGCGCAGCCAATGTTGTGCGATCTACGTTCTACATTATATGCGGTGTCGTCTATATTGGGCCTGTGCGTCGGTATGGTGACTCTGTTCTCGCCGTGGCCGCCCCGTCGCCGCCCTTCGTCTTGGCCTGTGCGTCTGCTTGGCGGCTATGCTGTCGCCGTCCCGCCCCGCCGTCGCCGCCGTCACCGCTCGCCGACGCTGTTAAATTGCACCACGTAGATCGCTTTGCGTTGCTGTGCGTTGCTTTGCCTGTGCGTCGGTCTGGCGGCTATCTTGTCGCCGCCGCCTTGTCGCCGCCTCGTCGGCGCCATTGTCCGGGCCTGTGCGTCACATCTGGCGGCTGTCTTGTCGCCGCCGCCGCCCCGTCGCCGCCGCTGGATTGCAACACTTTGATTGCACCATAATAGATCGCACAACGTATATTGCACCGCCTTGATGGCCGCGCGCGCGTGCCAAACTCTTTCCAACACCTTCATCACCGACGCGGGGACGCCGCCACCGTCGTCGGCGTGATTCGCATCGGCGCCCGCGCTGGCCGCTCCGTCGCCGTTTTCAACATGGCCGGCGGCACCGCTAATAGCATCATCGTGTCTACCGTTGTCGACGTTGCCATGATACCGCGCCCGCCCAAGTTGCCGATTTGCACGGGCGTGCTCGCTGGGACGCGCCCAGCGGTCAGCGCCACCGCGGCCGCGTCAGTCGCACCAAACTAACTGGCCGCTGCGCGCGCGGGCTTCGGCTGGCGCGGCCGCAGAGATGAACCAGCCAACGTCAAGCACTCATCGCAATCGCCACCGCAAGGGCTTTGCAAACCAAATTGCGGGTGGGTGGGTGGGATGATTTCGCGAGCAGTGGCGGTGGTCAAGAGCGGTGCAGTGTAGTCAATTGCATAAACTAG